CAGTTGCCCCCGGGCACGGCGGCGTCGGAGGCCGAGGCAGCTGACCTCTCCCTGTCCCTCTCCGCCTCCTTCTCCAAGGCTGAGGACGAGGAGCTCACCAGCCTCTCCTGGCTACACGAGAGCACAGACCTCCTCAACAGCTTCAGCCACTCAGGGCTGCGTAGCGTCTCCCCGCTCTTGGACTCCGACGGTCAGCACCCCCGCTCGCCTTCTTCCTCGTCTCCTTTGCCAGACGACCCCCTGCTAGGTGATGCACATTCAGCGTACGACTTGGCAGCGGGGGCAAACAGAAAACCGCCGTACTCTTTCAGCTGCCTTATCTTCATGGCTATCGAGGACGCACCAAACAAACGGCTGCCGGTGAAGGACATCTATGGCTGGATCCTGGAGCACTTCCCGTATTTTGCAAACGCCCCCACAGGATGGAAGAACTCAGTACGCCACAATCTGTCTCTGAACAAGTGCTTCAAGAAGGTGGATAAAGACCGAAGTCAGGTAAGGACGGAGTATTTTCCCTTACCCTCGTCAAGTAAAACTGCATTTTTAACACCGTGCTAATTCAGAACATGGAACACACACTTAGGTTGATTCATGTGTATGGAACATGAAACACACACTTAGGTTGATTCATGTGTAATTTAGTCCTGGTTATTACATTTTAATATTAGCATGAACTTCAGAGGTGCTGGTGTTAAAACAACAAAATTCAACCTGGTGTATGTAAAATATTTTTTTTATATTTAGACTTGAAATTAAACTCAGTGATCCAAGGGTCTGACTTTTAAAATCAGAATTTGACTGCTGCATTTCACCCATCCAAAAACAATAACAATATGAACTCTTTAAGACAGATATTTATTTTAAGACGACCATTTGCATGATAATGATGTCGCGGGCCACATTCGGCCCACGGGCCATGAGTTTGACATATGTTATTAAGAGGTTTTTGTTACTGTGACCTTTTAGAGACTGTAAAACTCTGATACATTGTTTCATTTTTTATTAGATAGGGAAAGTATTTTTTTACAAGCTGCAAATCACTCAGTTTCACTGAGAAATATTTGGCATCGTCATGTAGTGTCTTGTCAGTCTTGTCTTGACTTTTACCTTTCATTTTTATTATGGTTTTATTGATCAGCCGGTCAAATATATATATATACAGATTGTGAAGCTTTTTTTTTTTTCATTGAAAAAATGCTTTGACACAGATTGTGAAGCTTTTTTTTTCATTGAAAAAATGCTTTGAGAATAGAAATAAGGTCCTTCTCTCATTTCTAAGAGTGTGCATAATTTTTTGTTCTACTTCCAAGATATACCCGTGCTGCACACATTATCTATACAGCATTACCGGCGCCATTGTTTTTGTGTAACAAAGACCTTTAGGAAATGCAGTTGTCCTCTTCAAACCAACCCCGGCTCAGGAGTCTGTAACATTTTAAGATTCAACCCTACTTAAAGTCAGTCTTTTCTCTATTTTATTATTATTATTATTATTTCAAAAGCTCTCAGTGAAATCCCGCTGTCATCACCTTGTAAAAACTGCCCCAATTTTCTCTCTAAATCACTCACCTCTGGTGATGAATATTACACGTCTCGGCAGTTGTCGGCAGTTTGTGGCCCCATTCCAATTGATGTCGAGCGTATTCCATATTTTGTCTACAACTCCACCAGATTTGGCCTTATCAATTGTTGATGATCCCTGCTTTTCCTTTCATTCACCGTGTGTTCATATTACCCATTTCCCCCCAGTGGGCGCAGCGTTTTGCCTTTGATTTAAGTCTTGTTGCCGTCTTTTATACCAGCTTTCCCATCTAGATTTGACTCCATTAGAGTCCCGGGGTAAACCGGGAGCGAATCCCTCACTCAATTAGTGCTAAATTAATACTGCAGGATTTAATAACACAGATGCCAGCAGACTTTAGATTTCATCTTGCCTGAGGGTGTTGAGGGGTGGTTGGGTTAGGGGGGGGTAAACAACATGGACCGGTGCTGGCTCTGTGTGTTTAGTGTGCTGATAATGAGTGTATGAGAGGGAGAGAACGCTGTGCCTTTTTTTTTTGGTCTTGACTGGTGCTTGAATCTCTTCCCTTTTTTAGTGAGTCGTATGTGTGCGAGTTGTGTGCGTGTGTGCGTGTAAACCGTCCCTCACGCTATGCTGTCATCTGGCCCTTGACTACAACGGCACAGAGTTTCTCTTGTATACATATCTCCATAGCAACTAGGTTGCAGTTGACATAAAAGTATGCTGTTGCTGTAGCAACGGGAAAACTGATTTGGCTCTGCTGGCTAAGGTGTGTGTGTGTGTGTGTGTGTGTGTGTCTGTAGATTCGTTAGAAACTCTATTGACGCTGAACAAGTCTTACCCTGAACCTCTCACTAACTCAAGCCTAAAAGTACTTCTAACCTTTACGTGGTCCCAACAAACGTTAGACAAGTACACGGGACAAGTACTCGTGTGTATGTGTGTGTGTGTGGCAGCTTGTGTAGAGGACCCCTTGGCAAGGACGCCCTGTCTTGTCTTCTGTCACTGCACACCAGTTAAGACAGCACACTAATTAACCCTTCAAACCTATTCTCTCTCTCAATTCCTCTCTTTCCTGCACGCACACATTTCTCTTTTTTTTTCTCTCTTTTTTTTTACCCCACCAGACTGTAATGCACACACATACGAGTATGCATGAATGCTCAAAAAAAAAGGGGGCTCTCACACATGCACACAAACACACACACACACAGGAGCCGCGTCGCTGTAGAAATGAGGGCACATCTCTGCAGACTCCTTCTCTACCTGCCAAGTGCTAAGCTCCATCTGAAGCTGCAGTTACAGAATCTCTGTCATTTCAGTCCGACTCACCTTCAAAGCTCTGAGAATATCTGCATATGAATGTTTTTGTTTTTTTTGGGGGTTGTTTGTTTATTTGTTTTGTTGTTGGTTTTTTCTTTTCTGTGTTTCGTCTTCGTGTCGCGTTACTGTTGTGTGAATGCCATGCAGTTGAAAGCGAGGCGGGGAGCGGAGCGCGTTAGGAAGAGGTCAATGAGACAAAGAGACGAGAGGAAAAGGTGGGGAAAGTGGATAGATGCTGGTGGTTACTGTGAACACACCAAATCATATTTCCATCAATTTGCAGAGGTGGAGATTAATACGACTCTGGCCTATTTGTTCCACTGACTGTATTTCTGGGTCATATCCAGGCAGATGACAAGATGGGGATTAGTTTGCGTATGTATATATATATATGTGCGTGTGTGTGTGAGTGCGTGTGCACTTGTGCACGTCAGTCTTGGTGTGGAAGCGCAAACTTGTGAGAGAGAGAGAGTGCAAGTCGCACAGTTGCCATGGCATTGTTTACAAACAGGATTCTTGACTGCACTAAATGAGATGCTTTAATGACAAGTGCTGTAGCCCTGGATTAGTGCCATAAAATGCAGCAGGCACACACACACACACACACATACACACACACACGGGAGCAGGCGCGTGCGGGGCGTGATGTATATCTACCAGCCCCTCATGAAATCACCGCCTAGAGAACAGGCAGTTTTGTAATCTAAGACCTGCTATCAAGTCTCTCCATGTTGCACTCAAGTGTGTCACCTCTAACTTAACCTTTCCCCGTTTGGATGAGAGGCAGCGTTTTTTTTTTTTTTTTTATGTGTGGGCTCCTATTGTTAAAGGGAGGTAAGGTTCCGGGGGTGGGGTGAGGCGAGGTGACGTTGCTCATGCACTCCACTGTTTGTATATATATATAGACATATATGTATATATGTCTATATATATGTATATATGTATGTATATGTATGTATATATTTATATATGTACATATATACATATATGTATATATGTATTTATATGTGTATATATGTATGTATATATGTACATATGTATGTATATATTTATATATATATATATAAACCATTACCTTATTCAGCAGCTTGTCTCCGTTTTTTTTTTTTTTTTTTTTTTACTTTACCAAATACAATCCAAAAAAAGTCCAATTAGAAAGTACTGGCCTGAATATAAAATAAAAGAAATATATTTTAAAGTACACCGTTCTCTCCAAAGGGAGTTATCAATCCGGAGCTGAATGAAGCACAGCAGTGACATAGTGTAAACACCCAAATGTTCCAAATGTAAAACTCACAGCGTGTCGTAATATATTTTAAACCACTCCCAAAGATTGGATCTCAGCGGGTTATTTTTGGAATGCCAAAACAATGCACTGTAGCAGTGTGAAGGAATTCATCATACAAAAGTATTTGTTATACAAAAACGTAATAAATGGCAGTAAATTAGTCCGAAATGGTCAAATATCAAGGCAGGTAGGAGATAAAATATCTCATGGAGATTCCTCAGAAATGTATGAGGATGACCCTGTTGACAGCATATTTAGTTTTGTGCCTTTGAAACCTCAAATACGCTGCCTGTGTTTCACAAATACCAGCCGGAGTTGAATTTTTTTTTTTTTTTTCCCTTCGCCTTGATCTTTAGGAAAACAAAATTTGATCTGTGACTCAACTCTAAATCTCCAGTGGAAAAAAAAAATTGAAAAGTGAAAGAATAATGTCTGTATGAGGAAAAAAAAAAAGTGGGGCAAGCTTGGACTAAATTAAAGCCACATGGGAAAACAAGTCGATTCATAACACCTGTAGTAGAAGTTTCCACATTTCACTCCACTCTTGAAGACAAGCCTGTTGTTTAAGCAACTTGTAGCTCCTCACCCGACTGTCTCTCTGCATCTGCGTGACTCCTCTTCATTGTCACATGGCCTTCAGAAAGAATAGAAGTTGCATCTTCCGGATGAGACGAGATATTCATGCTTTTCTTTATATCTCTCTCCACTGGAACCTTTGGATCCTCTGCTGTAATTCTATTCCGTGTGTGTGTGTGTGTGTACTGAAGGTTTTGCCTCAGATTATTTGTCTTCTTCTAAACGGCGCTGAACACATACATTATCGATGATATTAATCCCGTGCTTGTCTGTATATATGCTCTCCGTAATGACGGAACATCTATCGAGGGTGGATTATTCGGGCTTAAATCCTGCCGGGGGTTAGTGCTTCGACTCCAGCTGTGAGGAACGTCGACTGACAAGTTTAGTTCAGATTAGTGGTATGGGTGCAGTGGTACACAACGGTGACATTGGGTGCATTATATCAGTTGTTATAATAATGCACCGGATTACACGGTTAAATCTGCAATCAGATGAAATGCTGTGGACGAGGAGCTGCATGTTGGAGTTCTCTTGGCAGATGGTAGAAATAAAAAAATAAAATCCTGATATTTTAGTACAGGCGCTGTATTCCCCAAACATCAGATAACAAAGGATGAATGTAACAGATGACCTAAGGCAGTCGTTTCTCGAACGTTGAAGCCCATTGCTGACACTGACGTGTGGTTTATTACATTTATTGTTGAACTCGTTTGGACTATTTTGCCTTTTTATTAAATTTCGTCGCTTCAGAGCAGAGTCTTGCGGCTAAAAGGCACCGAGAGT